CAGTTACCAGAAAGTCCCCCCAAGTTCTGCACCATTAGGGGAAGCTGAGCCGAGCTGGAGTGACCGTGAACAGAACTCCAGGAGCAGAGAAGAGGTCAGACATGATCGGTTGCTTCTCCTTTAGATATCCTGTAACGAGAGCTCTTTTATAAAAGTGTTTTATTGTTGTCCCCCTCAGGGCGTCGTGGACACTGCGATGCTGAATCCGGTGTCTCAGGTCATAATTGCTATCAGAGAGAACACGGAGCAGCTCGCTGACAAAATGAAGTAAGATACTAAGAAGAGCAGACACCATGAACACTTAAACTCCTCTCTTTCCATTCCTGATCTGGCTTTGATGAAAAACTTTATTGATCCTGTCTGACAGCCAGACTGCAGTGAGCATCAGCTCTAATTTAATTACTGTAACTTAGTGAGTCAGCTCACAGACAGATTGGCTGACAATATGGGACCAAGAGCAGAGATCTAATCTAAGTAAATGAGACACAGATGAAAAAGCTGTTTCCACTGTTACATGTGGCTTCAGGTTGTCTTTTCCTGGTCTTTATTTGGTAATGTTTCAGACGTTAAACGAAAGTTATGGCTTACTTTTGCTGTGATAAATTCTGCAAAATGATCAGTGTCAGAGAGCAGAACGTTGACTGAAAGACACCTCTGCACACAGGGTGATGTTCCAGGACAGAGTGGATATCTGGGAAGAGATTGAGGCCAAGGTCAATTCTGAAAATAATTTCCCGTTTGCAAAAACATCCAACAAGGTTAGTGTGCTTTTGGTTGAATGACAGGATAAACGCATGCGTGTAAATACTGCATGTTTGAGCTAAGTTAGACGTCCGTGTTTCAGGAAATCTCATCTATCTTGAAAGAACTCAGGAGAGTTCAGAGACAACTCGAAGGTGAGTCATTCGGACCCGGAAACAATTTAAATGGAAATAATTTTAAAATAGATTTTCTTGTGGCTGATGACTAATTTCTATTTTTTTTTTAAATATTTAGTCATTAACACAGTCATGGAGCCCAGCTGGCAGCCTGGAGCTACCAAGACCTCAGCCACTGCAGTCTCCTCCTCATCTGGAGTTCACACTAGCAAGCATTCTTCCTCACGAGACTGGAGAACGGTGCACTCCATTTTCAAACGTGGCGGTGGCCCGAGGCCCAGCGAGAGGGTCAGGAGAGCGGCTGCGACCCCGGACGATGTCAGAGAGGGGTATTTAGTCTGAGATCTGGCACAAACACGCAGGTCCAGCCAGTCCACTCCAAACAGCCAGGTGCCAGACCTCTGTGCGCACAAAGGAAACCCAAAGGAGGGAAGTGAGACTTTGTTCACAGAAGTGCATCCTCCTGCACACACAAACATACACACTACTGCACTATAAGCACACCACACACCCACCTGTGTAAGGATGTAACACACTGAGAGAGACCACAAAGCTATACTTGATTCTGTGTGTTACAGATCGTCGTCATTATTTGCCAATGTTGTGATCACCAGCACTTTTTTTTTCTTTAATAAAAGCTCATCATAATTAGCTGCCCAGAGAAAAACAAGCCTGAACACAATCATCCCAGGGAAGTCTTCAGATACGTCAAACATGTGTGTTTAGTGACAAATCATCATTGAGGAAGTATTTTATTTTTTTAATAGCAAGAACTAAAGTTAATACTCGCAGATGCTGATATGCTGTGTAACTCCCCACGCTTATTGTTTCTTGTTTGCCTCCTTCCTCTTTGTGGGGTAGAATGAAAATGTATTTTTTTAGGGGATTTCTTTCCTGAGACACTGTGGTATTTTGTAACTGAGACAGCACGGCTGTAGGTGCGAGTTAGTCGCCTTTTGTGCCAGAATAGTTTGTTAATATTACGCAATCGCTACAAGCCAATTTTGTGTGCACGCTGGTACCATTTCCCTCGTCGGCACTGCGCTTTTGTCCAACAGAGGGTGAAAAAAATCCACTTCAAGAGTGTGCAATCTAAATGGAGGAACGGGTGTGCTCTATAAGTAAATCAGCAAGCAATCACAAACTCTGGCTGCAGCTTTAGAGTATTCCCGGCCCTTCTAACTTTTGTAAAATTTCTTATTTTTATATTTGTGTCAAACACATTTGGGAGCTTTGGATTGTTTTCCGCGCCTCGAGCAAAATTTAGCTCCAAGGTTTTTCCAAAGACGAACTCGACACGATTTCAAGGACGAGAAATGTGTCGTCTTTATCTGTGTTTCTGCAGACACCTCGGCCCTTCGAGTCGTGAGAGATGTAATGTTATTTATGACCAAGTAAATTGTATGAAATTGTTTAAAAAAAATTTGATAATAGCAGCTGATTTGTTAACGTGTGTGTAAATGTCTAAAGATCGTCTACACGTCCTACAGGTTACCTCTCAATCTCGTCTTTTTGCACTGAGGTAGTACAGCATCATCCCTCTTTAAGCCGATACGCTGCAAACTGAAAGCTTTGACTCTCCGGTGAAAGATTGTAAGAATCTAATGCTGACACGGGAGGCCGAAGTAGGGAACTCCGGCAAGCTTCTCAGTTTCCCTCTTCCTAGTCTGGACCATGCATGTGATTGTAACTGGGAAGTACCTACAAAAGTGCCACATTAGCTGCATGGGATAAAGTTTCATGCGGGCGAGTACAGTGGTTGTTTACAGACTCCAGCAAAATTTGAATGTTTTTCTTCTTCTTCTTGTCATTCTCAACCCGTTGCTGCTATTCATCTTTTGTGGGATAGTATTTCCACTTAGCTTTAGTCCGACACGGTCCGCTGAAGATTTAAAACGTGTGTATCAAATTTCTGTCCCATTTTGGATCTTCAGTTTCTGTTTCCATTCCTTCCCTACCCAAATGATTTGGTTGTAATTTGATAGCTGTTATTTATGTTTGGTTATTTGTGTAAGATGTCAGATATGTTTTGTTTTGTTGTTTTTTTTCCAAATAAATGTGATTAGTAAACCTGTTTTGCTTTTTGTCATCTGTTATAATCTCTTGTTACACTCACCCACTCTACCCCTCCCCTCCCCATGCTACATAACTACCCAAAAGACCTGAAATGAAACTGAAAATGGGAACTATGTTGTGATATATTCGGCATCAGAATTCACTTCTGCTCATATTTGGGGAGAAGTTTGAAGGAAGAAAACAATCAAGTTGGCTTTGAAGTCTTTTTTAGATTGTTCTATCTGTAAGTTTCTTTTCATTACTTTAAAATGAATCCAATTCCAAAATGAAAACCATCTGGAATAATTGCAGAAATGAAGATGATTTGGTTCTTATCAGAGATGTGAGCTCT